GAACCACCTTACCCTTTAAATGCAGTTTCGTTTTCGCTCGCCATTATTACATACTTATCATATCATGCTTATGTTAGAGCCTTCCTCACCGCTACTCTGTGTCTTGATACGCAATATTCTTTCCGATTGAACCAGATTATCACTCTCTGATAGAAATTCAGGAAAGCTGATTAATAAAGAAGTCAAATTAAATCCAAAAGGACAACCTTTACACGGTACAACCTTTGTACTGCGAGGCTTAAATCACTGCAGGGATCTTACAGTGACGCTTGCTGGCTTACTGATGTCCAGCACTCTGGTGTTATCAGTCACCTAGCCAACTTATGGCATGGATGGATAAGAAAAGGTCCACACAGAAATCGCCGCAGCAACTGCCGCACGCGACGATTCTCGCCGCGTGAGCGGCGTGACCTCATTAGCCGACGATTGAATAGTCCGCGTCCCCTTACTGCAGGTTTAAGACCAGTATCATTTCAAATGTTCCAAGTTCCCTCCTATTACCTTGATTTCATTCTATTCTCCATTCGACCGAGTGACAGCTGCCCACATAAGAGTGAGATCACTTCTTCCTATATTTGCATATACACGCAAATTAGTAACGAAGGTACAACCTGCGATCCCTTCGATCAGAAAGGTTCCTCCCGACGATGCAAGTGCCAGATCGGCACTTGCCTATATGTATTGATACAGTCATGAATGTTGATTCCAAATATGAACACTAAAACTGCACGTGAACTTCCTAAGAAACTTATGAGCCTTGAAAGTTGGCAAGAAATGTTACTGAGGTGAGCTTACGTAACCGTTACCTGATGGAATCACAGTAGCCGTGGCTCTTTGCCAAAAACAGTCTCATATTCGTAATCAGGCACCTCTCTATTCTTATAGAACAGTTCCAGGCAAAAAGCAATCGCATTCACACATAGGATGCGTCATCATTGGCTTCGGGTCGGCTGTGGTGGAAATTTGTTGACGCTTGCAAACTTCTACAAAGTTCAGCGAAGCCGTTTGTGTCAATACCTGCAAGGCAGTCAGCATCGCGAGATCATATACCGGAGGTCGCATTTCAAGTTTCATAGGAATTTCAAACATTTTTGCGTAAGATTCCATCACAACGTAGAAATTAAGCAAACCCTGTGATTTCGCGTGTTTTGGTGTTTTTTGTTTTCCTTTTTTCTTGTGGGTGGCCCATTTCACACCCCTACCTTCGTTATCAAGCGCACTTACCAAACCAACTTGATCTTGCTGGAGCTTCAACTACTAGGTTTGAGAGATAGAAACAAGGTGGTACTTTTCAGGAATCCGCTGAACGAAGAGGAGCACTACATACCTGTTATCCTCATACATCGTCTGTATGGCATACGCTAAATCGACGTTTGTCAGCTCTTCAGCGTCTTGAAATTTCAGGAAACTATCACCACCGTGACCAGTGAGGTAAATCTGAACAAAAACAGATTAGCTCGAAGTTGAACATAAAGGTCCTAAGTAGATGGTTTTAGGCGCAAAAGTATGAGGTTGTCTTTCTGATTCATTTCCTGACAACCTTATTTACAAGATTTTACATAATTATTAAACACGCTACTGGTTGACTTCAATGATTTCCAGTCCACGACCAAGTACGACAACGGGTTAGGCTAAGAGGTCCTATTGAGTTGTTTGTAAGACTGACTTCCTTACCCAGATTAGTGAGTCTACTATCCCTCCGTGGTAGATTAGTAGCTACCAACAACATGGACAAGGGCAAATCTAGATTTCGAGTCGTCCTTACCGACCACTGGTAACCATGAGATTCGAATAAAAGTATCAGGATTCACAGACTTTCATAGTTTTGATCAACACTGAACAGTTCACTCTGCCTTTACAGTGAGCTTTTCCGTATCGAATTGCAAACGGGCACTCAAGTCGATGCGCAACGTTCATCGCCTTTTCATTGTTACTCTTTTTGTTCCAGGTGAATCCTTTATGGATCCTTTAATTTTATTCCAGAGATTATTCAAAGTTATTCCCCTTCCTTTCGAAAAGGCCACCAGTTGAACCAGTGGTTAATTAAGAAGCAAGCGATACCCCAATCGCTCTATAATCTTCAAACCAATATTGGTAACTTCTCTTGGAGAAACGGTTTTTTGCCCAAGATCGATCTACAAGACGCGCCTTTCGAAAATTGGATACGCGTCAAGTGCAGACCACACCACAAGTGACGACGGCCTCCACAAAATGTAATTTTCTGCCAATGAAATGATTAGCCTGTTGCAGTTGTATTCTATCAGTTGTCACTAATTACAACTATCATTTACCAACTATCAGCTATCACTATGAACCACTAACCAGATTTACTTGGAGGCCGTCGTCACTTGTGGTGTGTGGTCTGCACTCGACGCGCATTTGGTTTTCGGGCAGCTCCATTGACATTTTTTCTTATGATACAAGAAATATGACATAAAAAACTGACCAATACATTGCTCTGATGATCTGTGAGTAGACGCTTTGATCGAGGAGTGGCCGGATGATGACGTCCA